GGGGGGGGGTACGGACTTTTGGGGTACCCTGCATATTGTCCATTTCAGCAACACTTGTTGCAATACTTAAGGTTGAACATAATTTTAAGTGGACATGAAGTAAAATGGACGGAACAAGGCGGTGGATATAAGTAAAATGTCCTGAAACTCCTAGCACCATTGGTGTACCATGAACAAGGTTGGTGATTAGGCTGCGATTTACTTGGGGTCGTCAAGTGTGTCCTGGGCTACTTTTATGATTTAATTTTTCAGGTTTGAAAAATCAGAAGATCTTGTGAGGACATGATTTAATTAATATATTACTGCATCGAACTACAGATTCAACCATTGCTAAAGTTAGTATCACACACACTTCGATAAGATGGAGGAAAGAGTTCACAGTATAAACTAAACAAAAATTTGGCTTCTTTAATTTTATTTTAGAATTATCTTACATAATTTTAATTATAATTTTTTCGGTGCATTGGTGAAAAAGAAAATATGAGGAGGGGTGGGGGGGGGCACATATACATATTTGCAAGCGTTGAAATAATCAGCACACTAGAACAAGCCTGTTTCACTCACATAATGTTTCAGTGCCTCATTAAAGAACTTATATATCAAAGGATATACGCTTGTCTTTATATCCTTATTTGAACATGTCAAGCCAAAATTAATCTGACATTAAGGGAAACAATATAGAATTCTGCCTTCGAATATCAAGGATACCTGGAGAGCAGTCTTAAATCTTTCAATGTAAAGGACCATACGAGAGGAAAATGAAGACAAAATCTTTTAGCAAGCGCAGCCACCATCAGCATTGTTAACCTCGTTTGGAGTGTCTTTCAGAATGACTTCTTGCACTATTTTGCAAAGAAAAAAGCATGTTAAGGAAAACATGTCAACTATGTAAGCCTGCAAAAAATCACGGGGAAATCAGGAGACAAAATAAACCCTGCTTAAGGGAAAAATTACAAATGCTGCATGTAATTTGAAAAATCACTCAAGAAAAGGTGAATGATAACACATGCAACCGTAGACCAAAGTCTGTGAAGTCGAATTTCTCCAAGTTCACCCCCAGTATGAAGATTTGGGTTTTTTCCAGTAAAATTCACGGGTAGCCAGTATTTCAAGGCCGGAAAAGAATGAATTTTATTTTTTTTTATTAAAAACCCATTGTAAATTGAAAAAAAATTAAGGACATTACTAGGAGCCACTACCTATACTGAGGAAAGATTGTTTGTGCTAATCGAGAGGAAAGCATCTGAATAGTTAAGACTATATTCAAAATTCACACATTTGTCTACCAACTCAATTAAAGATCCTACCTACACCAAAAAAGGATTCTCCTAAAATTGTAGTTTTGAGAACCAAGTACCTGTTCATCACAACTCTTAAATGTTGACGTGCAATATTAACACAGAAAACAAAATGAACCACTTTTACTCCTTGAATTTTAGATAAAGTTGAATCCTAAGAAATATTATGCTTGATTGACAGGACATGAAATAAAAGACAGCGGATTTTAAAAGCTGGTCAAACTGAATTTTAGGGCCACTCGAAGCCTCTTGTTTCTGTGTCCTACAAAGGTAGAGAGGAAGACAAAAATCTTCTTGGCCATTATATCGGGAGGGTCCTGCCTTTCTAAACGCTTAATTTTGGTTTGGATGTGCGGGTTTAGTGTTTAATCCGTTATTCAAGCAACCTGCGCATACCACAGGAACAAAGTATTTCCCCGAGGGATTACTATGGCATCATTTCCGTAACCCTGGAAAGAAATATTTTTTCTGGAGAGAAAAACTTTTTTCACTGGGGGAGAAATTTTTTTTGGGAGAGGAAAGAAAATTTTTATGCGGGAAGAAACTTTTTTTAGGAGGAGAAAAACTTTTTATTACTAGGACGGAAATATTTTTCTCGGGCGAGAGAAAAAGTTTTTTTTTCCCCGCATGAGAAAAAAATATTTTCCCCCGGTCGAACAAAAATATTTCTCCCCGCACAAGAAAAATGTTTCTCCACACGCTACAAAAAGTATTTCTTTCCGGGCAGTGCTTCCCATGGTTGCCGAACTTAGCGGACGGGGTTCGAGTTTAGAGAGCGCTGCCACTCCGCCTCGACAAAGAACGAGATTGCAATGAATCTAGTAGTGGGAGCAGTGTGTTCCCAGCCGCTCCGTGTGCGAGATCCGTACGCTCTGCCGCTCTCCGTGCAGAGGCGAAAGTAAGAACCAATGTTAACATTTTTCTTCTCAGAGTCGGTACTTATTGAAACCAATTTCGGGGTTACCTACAAATATCAAAGTGTAAAAAAATATTAAAGGACCTTATTCAAAATCGACCTTATTCAAAATCGGCCTTTTCCAACCTCGGCCAAATCTTCGTAATATTTTCAGGGTTGACAGAGGACCACTACTCAAGTCCAAAACACTGACGATTTTTGAATTTGGATAATTAAGGCGGGAGGGGGAGGGGGTTAAAGTTAAAACCTTAAACGGGCATATCTCGTGAACGGCTTGTCGTAGAGAGATGATCTTGGTCTCAAAATTTAGAGAAAATTATCAGATTTCAGCTGGTATTCACGTAATTGGTCCATTTTGAAATTTTTATCCATAGTTGCCACGTTGCCGTAGCTCAAAATTTCAATTTTTTACATTTTGAGCCGCAGCGTTGAAGGGAACGCACGAAAAATTACGAAACTATTGTTTCATGAAAGGATACCATCTAAGCTTCAAAACAAGCTTAAGATCATTCCGGGGAAACGATTTGGACCGGAGTTATGATTTTTCAAAGTTGACTTGTAGCGCGCCAACCTTGTATGTTCGGCGCCCTGAGATTACCGGCACCTCTTCAATGAAAATTGGCTGCGACTTTTCGCATATTGACGCACTGCCGTATCCTTAACGGTAAAAATAACCCATGAATAAAAACCTTTTGTCATGGAAAATCTTTTATGGCTTACATCGGTGAGAAAACCACTGTATTTTTCCGCCAGCGACGAACAAATAACTATGTCTCTATCTTTTTAACTCGGATGCTAGAAACACTTAATGCGCCCAATATTGTTCAGTCAATTGTCAAAAAGGAACACTCACTCCGGAGCAATGTTTCATTAGAGCCGATTAATGCCGATAATTTTCAGCATCTTCCCGCATGGACTGCGGAAGATTTTCCATCATTTTGTGGAGCATACCCATTTAGTTTTGTAAAAAGTTACATTGGTATTCAATTTACAAAAGGTAAGTACGATTTACGCGGTAAAAGATGCTTTACCGAGTTTTTCCAACTACAGATAAAACGTTGCCGAACCCATGTATCTAAAGACGAAATTATTATCACGCCATTACTCTTAGAAAATACACTGTCTATTTGTGCTAATGGACACGAGCAAGTCAACGCGGCAGTCGTTTATTGGCAGTTATTGCACGTTCAAAAGCGGAGCTCGCACAATAAACCCTTGTGCACAAGTTGTTGCTATCATTTGGCTATTTTTGGTGAGCTCCACAAAATAATGGAAAATCTTCCGCGGTCCATGCGGGAAGATGCTGAAAATTATCGGCATTAATCGGCTCTAATGAAACATTGCTCCGGAGTGAGTGTTCCTTTTTGACAATTGACTGAACAATATTGGGCGCATTAAGTGTTTCTAGCATCCGAGTTAAAAAGATAGAGACATAGTTATTTGTTCGTCGCTGGCGGAAAAATACAGTGGTTTTCTCACCGATGTAAGCCATAAAAGATTTTCCGTGACAAAAGTTTTTTATTCATGGGTTATTTTTACCGTTAAGGATACGGCAGTGCGTCAATATGCGAAAAGTCGCAGCCAATTTTCATTGAAGAGGTGCCGGTAATCTCAGGGCGCCGAACATACAAGGTTGGCGCGCTACAAGTCAACTTTGAAAAATCATAACTCCGGTCCAAATCGTTTCCCCGGAATGATCTTAAGCTTGTTTTGAAGCTTAGATGGTATCCTTTCATGAAACAATAGTTTCGTAATTTTTCGTGCGTTCCCTTCAACGCTGCGGCTCAAAATGTAAAAAATTGAAATTTTGAGCTACGGCAACGTGGCAACTATGGATAAAAATTTCAAAATGGACCAATTTCGTGAATACCAGCTGAAATCTGATAATTTTCTCTAAATTTTGAGACCAAGATCATCTCTCTACGACAAGCCGTTCACGAGATATGCCCATTTAAAGTTTTAACTTTAACCCCCTCCCCCTCCCGCCCTAATTATCCAAATTCAAAAATCGTCAGTGTTTTGGACTTGGGTAGTGGTCCTCTGTCAACCCTGAAAATATTACGAGGATTCGGCCGAGGTCGGAAAAGACCGATTTTGAATAAGGTACTTTTAAGCGAATTCACAGTACTTCTCCGGTTTAACAATAAATAAGTTAAAAGAATTCAATTCCTAAAAACGTATGTATCTGTTATTATTCGACCTCTCCAAAACGTCGACCTACCGCAAACGTAAATAGTACTTTTTGAAACAGCCTCCTTTCGTTATGCTTCGTTGACATGAAAATGGCGGAGGCTTTCGCTTCTGTTGACGTTAGTCTCTTAATTCTATGTCCGTGCTGCTACTGGCTGTCTCGTCATTCTGTGACGTCACGTGTAAGTTAAGATAGGGAAGCGTTTTCCCATTAGGTTTTTGTCCGTACGCTGTCCGCGCAGACATAAGGAAGGTCCGCGCGCGCGGCACGGATATATCCGCACGCTTGGGATCACTGAGTATAGAGGATCCACGAGCAGCGGTTCGCGGAACTTCACCAGAGCAAGTTTCTGGAATTTTGCAGGAATAAGGTAGCGGAAATTTTCCGGAGCATGTTTTGAAAATTTCGTCCTAACTTTCTACGAATAACGTTGAAAGATGAAAGACGAAATGGTCAATGTCGCTTCCTCTGCAGTCAGTAGCAACTCTCACTATAAATCCATTTTTTAATACATATGTACATTTGGACCAAATTTAAAACATAGGTACTGGTACTCAATGCAGATATGACAGGATATAATGGATATTTTAAAATGAAGAAAAGCTACTTGAACTTCAAAAATACAAATTTATATAAGAACATACAGTTTATAGATTGAAAGTTTGAGAGCAAAGAAATAAAATTTACCTAAAATACGGCCAAAAGATGTTCTTGGGATAAATGAAAATTTATTATCGTATGCAATTTATAATTTTATACCTTGAACGCAGCATAATAGTCGCCGATTTAAAGATCCGCGGTGGTTTCATGGGTGTGCTTAGCAATTCAACGATTAACCGCCAGGCACAATGCACCTTAAACGATCTATAAGTCTATCCGTGATTTCTTCGCTTACATTATGCGTGTAACAAAGTTAAGTTTGCACGCGCTTATATTCAGTGGCTTGTAAAAGTTGAAGGTAGCAAGTACCCAAGTGCTTCATTATTTGTTGATAGATTAATACTTGAACATATCTAGTGGTGCCTTTATCCTCCCCGAAAACTTATGCATCCATACGAGTTCCTCTTTAATCTTACTTCATTAAACTCCCCTCACTAAAAAAGTTTGGAAGGTATGAAATACTCCCAGGTGAGGGGGTTGAGGGGGCCTCGCCCGGAAAATTCTGAAATTTCTAATGTTGTCCGGGGCAATTAGAGGCAATTCTTACAGACTTTCATGTAAATTGTGAATATTTTCAGTTCATTTAACTTTCTCTTAAAAAGTGAAATTAGCTTCCAGAGAGGTTCCACATTAAGACCACGCAATCCACGCAGGCACACTGAGTTATAAGGTGCAAATGGATACCTGCCTAATCTAGGCGATTATTATTGATTTTTGGCATGCAGAATTATTTGATCGAAGAAGAAACTCAGGAAAAAGACGAAATTCAAGGGGGAG